CACCTTAGATGAATCTCAAAGGCATTATGCTGAATAAAATAAAAGCTTCAAAAGGTTACATATGAATACATTTATGACATCCCAGGAGACAAAACGATGGGGGTGGAAAAAAGATCAGTGGTTGCCTGGGTTTAAGCGTGGAGGAAAGGGTGACTATAAAGCTGTACAGTAGAAAGGAGACTGGAGATTGTGGTACTGCTCTGCATTCCAAGATGGCTACACAAATCTATACACGTGTTAAAATTCTCAAAACTGTACAAGAATAAAAAGCAATGACAGTTGTATGACTGTCTAAAGGACATTTTTAAAAATACAGCCTAAAAAGATGGAGAGTGAAAAGGAGACAGAAACAAAATCAATTTTAACAGATTTCTGGAAAACCGAAAGGAGATGGGATATGGCTGGGCAGGACAGAGGGAGCCACTTTCTGAAGGGACTGCAAAGGGACGGATTCCACTGAGAAGCATGTTGATGCGTTCCAAAACCCCTGAGAAGCTCAGACTTGAAAGGAGAGGTATGGCATCAAGGGACCGGCCTGAAAATGGGAGCTGAAAACTGTACACAACAGAATGGTCCGATCCCTAAGATCTCCGCCCCTCTGCCTCTGGGCCAAAGACCACCTCCCACCTCCGTCAGGTCTCCCACAGGCAGAAGACAAAAGAATTTTTATCTGGAAATAGTAATGGGAGACAACGAGGTGGAGAGCATATACAAAGGGACAGGCCTAGCGGAAATGTGTGAAGTGGAAACAGAAACTGAGGACAAGGCAGAAACAGAGTTCAAAGCGGTAAGAGACAGATCCTCTTTCAACCCTTCCTTTTGCAGAAGACCAGAGAATTCATCCCTAGAAAAACTGAACAGTCCCACAGAAAAGGCCTCCGGCCAAAGGACTGACAGTCATTCCCTAATGCAGTACTTCTCAAAATTCAATCTACTTACAGTTGCTGACCTGCCAACCATTTATTACTCGTCTAAGCATTTTATCATGAGCAGGAACAAATGATGCAGAGTGCCAGTTTTGAGTAGCACTATGCTAGGGAGGCCGTCATTTGTCAAGCACTAGCCCACAAAGAGCTTTCAGTAAGTTTTCGGGGTCCATTCATACACAATAGAGTGCTCAGACTAGCCAGAAATATGAGGAAATTCACCTACATGAGTAAATTAGGCCACAGCAGGAGGGTGCAATGAGAGCATGAAGTGACAGCTGTGTAGTTGGCCAAAAAACCACCAGTACAGACTGGCAGAGAAGGACAAATGCAGGACAGACCTTCCTAGTAAAAACAGGGAATCGGGTTATCTGATATTTGGAGACAAAACCCATCAAAAAACTAGCAATGAGAACATGATGGACCTGCCAAAGAAGCTGGAAAAATTTTAAGACAGGCTTCCAGAAAGTTACATAAATGTTAAAACATAGGATGATTATTAATTCTTGGAAAAATAAAGTGTACAAAGTATAATCTTGGTGCTCTCCTTTGCTCTACTGTATACAGTTATTTTTAAAGTCATAATTAAATAATAGTTAATGTGTTTATTAAATATTATAACTATATAATAGGAGAAGGGGAGGTATGTGTGTTAGCTAAATTGTCAGGTAATAGCATCAAGAAGACAATAAGGTCTCAAGTTATTAAATCAAGCAATAGTAGAACAGGCATGTTATTTAGATACACCAGATAAATACCAAAAGTAACAACTTTTGAAGTCAAAGTGATCACCCCTAGAAGGTAAAGCTGGGGCAGGTACTGCTGTTTTTCATCTTAATGCCTTCAGATGTTTTTTTAACTGTGTACGTTACTTTGTTAGATATATAAAAAAAAATAAGGTCACCATGGTCTGACTCGATTTTAGACATATTTATTCTGAAATTCCAAATGACATTAGGAGAAATATGATTTTTATGTTTATTGAAGGGCATGGGCAAGAAACCAGCTCTGATACACTTTGCTAGATTATCCAAATACTACATTTATGCATCAAATTCTTGAAACAGCACTTCCTTACTCCCTCCATCCTCCCCTCAAAATAACCGTGTTCACAAAGAACAGAATTCTGCAGCTTAACCAGCAAAGGATGACAGAGTAATCTGAAGGCAGTGTTTCCATGCAGACAGGAGTGAGAGGCTTAACAGCAACCATTAAGCCTACCTCTCGGCTGCTCCCCTTTCCTAGTCTGGCTTTTCATTTCTTATGCCCTCTCCCTACCTTCTTCATTATTTTCATCACCCTTGTCTCCCTACCAGTTTTTCATTTTCTATTTACCAAAAATTTCCTGTGCTCTAATACCAAATCTAGCCTGTCTGCCTACAACCACTTCCTAGGAAGAAGAGATGCTGCTCAGTAATACAGATAACATCCTGCAATCAATGCTGTCAGAGTGACTAATACACACACAGATGGCAATCAGATCTAGCCATGGAAATGTTACAACTTGGACGCATTGAGCTTGAGCTAAAATTCAGAGCTAAACATTAGCAACAATACTGGGGCACTGTTACTTCAGCAAGACACTTAAACATAGCAAAATTAATTTTTTTCATTTTTATTAATACAGAATATACTAACAGTAAATTATCTTTCAATATAATCAAGGTTACAAATAAACTGTTACTAACCCATAAACAAATAACAGTCACTTGACTCTCCTCTTGGTTGAATAATTCTCTTTTAGGTAGTACAGTTATTTTTACCAATTTATTTTTAAACTGCTTTATGATTTTAAAGAATCTCTTAGTCTTTACTTATTAAATAATTCCATCAATTGGGAACTTCATATATCACAATTATTTCCAGCAAGTTAATGCATTCTCCAATGCCTTCTACTCAACCTAGTTGTCTTAAACTACATTCTGATTCTTTGAAAGCTGAGTATGACATCAGTGTTTCCAAAAGGTGAGCATAAAGCCCGTAAGAAAGAAATGTTTTTCTTCCTTCCCCCAGTCACAGAGGCCATATGAGTGTTCCACATTCTTCATATTTAGCAACAGGAATCCCTTACAACTCAAATGGCAGCAGACAAGGGAGAACTTAGGCCATCAATGTACTTTTAAAACAGATAAAACTCCAAATATATTTTAAGATTCCATCTTCACCACAGATGACAAAGGGTTGGAGAGGCTCTTTGACTTTTCTGTAGCAGTAATCCTGGTCCTCCAGTTAGAAAAAGAGACACAGGATGGCAGTCCTTAAACAGCACAAACTCAATCCACAAATACTGGGAGAAGCCAGTATTTGGGATATTGATATATCCCAAAAAATACATTGCCATGTGCAAGAGGGTCAATTATCAGAATAAATAACCATATTCTGAAGGACTGACAAAAACAAAGAATAGTTTTACACAAAGAATACCCTATGCACTCAGAAATTTCAGGATAACCATACATTAAGTACCTCATGCAAGTAATATTCTGTTAAGTATGAACTACAAGTTCTTTTAACTGAATTTCATATTGTACAAAACTTAAGTGTGGCACATTTCTACTATTACCATTACATTATTTTTTTTTTAATGTAGTCAAAATTGATACATTACACAGACCTTTTGATTGAAAATATAACCAAAGGAAACCATTACAAACTCTTAATTCAAACAGGCGTTTTTCTATACAAACATGAGTTATTTTAGTTTAAAAAAAATAGCCATTTCAATGCAATTAAGCCACCTCTGATTAAGACATACATTTCATGCATGTGAAAAAATAAGTTTACATTCAAGAATCAGTTCCATAGCAAACAAATTACAGCATTTATTCAAGAAGGAATATTAAAAATAATTCCAGGTAATAGAAAATAAAATAACTTCAAGCATATATATTATAATTTATCATGTACATACTCCGAAATCTCCAGAATTTAATTAGGAAATTTAAAGAATTTCTTTTGAAAGTACGTCTTAGAAAAACCAACCAAAACAATTGGTGCCGTAACTAAAGAGAATGTCCATACACATCCACATTTGACCTACATGTAAAAACTGGATGAAATATAGAGGAAATAAAGGTTACTGTTTTCCAAAACCTCTGCAATATAATATTAGTACTTAGGTCAAAACACTTACCTGCAAATTAAAAACAGCTTGAGGTATTTCCAATGCTGAAGCAAATTTCTGAATGTTAAATACCACAAGAATGAAAACAGTCTCCTTTGAACACTTAAACCTGGTTTATAGTTGAGACAGAAGACAAGGTCTGCCAAGAAGTTTTCCCATCTCACCTATATCCTTGGACCCCTGATGAAGTGTAAGCTTCAAGGGAAATGGTCACATGTAAAAACAGCAAGCAAGATGAGTTTCCTGACTGCAACATCTTAGCCAAAATGGAAAGTGGAATTTTAAATTCTCCTGAGACTCACCTGACATCTTCAGACACAAGCATTAATTCCTATGCTAGACAGGTTAAACATGTCCTTTGAAATCAAATCTAAGCTTGACAACTGTACTGGATAAGCTGAATACAGGAATCACCTCAACAAAGATGGTACTTTAAGCCTTTACACACGACACATGAAAATGATGAAGTGTTTTATTTAGATTTGGTCTTTCTTCATCTTTTTGTAACTCTGGATCCTGAAAAGTTAGCAAGTCGTTATACTCATACATCTTGTAATCCCTTTCTTCACACAACAGGCACACATATACAGTATCATATGTCAATATATTATCATCAACACAGCATAAACATATAAGCAGCAGACGCGTTTCACATGAAAGAGGCTCTATGCATCACATAGCCTGTCCCAACAACAACAAAAAAAAACATCAGAATGCCATTTCAGCAGTTACAGTGTTGATATGATCAGTATAGCTAATCTGTTTTATACCCGTCATCTATTTTCGTAAGTCATCCATAAGGAAGAAGCAGAAGACAAAGACTGCTTTTTAAAAAATGTTATGTGCCAACTTCAAAAATGACATACTAACCAGAACATAGCATCTGAAAGCTAGGTTGAATAGGACTGGCCTCGATGCACATGCAGTAAATTTGTTTTCAGAATATAAAATTAAATGGTAATGTCAGCAGTATTACTACTGTTTCTATATTTATGATTAATTACTAGCAGTACAACTCCCAGAAGAAAGGAGATGGATCCAATAGCAATGTAAGCAATCCCCAAAAATGGATTTTTTCCTCCCATCCATGAAATGGTACTCAAGATCATCCGCTTCCGTCCATCAAATGAATGTACAGGGTAATCTGAAGAGTGTATAGGAAGACATCCATGTCTTATTACTTGATTTTTAAAATACAACTTAAAAAGTTAGCATTTAATTCCTTGTAATTCACTGGTATAATTCTATGATAGACACTTACTCATATGTTCTAAATCACAAAATAATTATATAACTATTATCCTAAAGGATTGATTTCACAAACTGTTAGTAGTAGAAGCCAATATAGTTTACAAGTAAAAGCAAGTAAATTTAAGAGTTACGTAATTTCTCGTTTCTCATATATTTCTGTTCTCATTACACAGGGAGGGGTAAAAGGCCTGTAATGTGAAAAAAAAATATTTCAGATAAACAGCAATGAAACCCATAGAGGAAAATGAGGTGGACAGACCAGGAGAAATGGGAAGAATGAAGGGACTGGGGCACTTTTTGAGCACTGAGCTCAAAAAGCATGTGCAGCAAGAGTGTCGTTATGAGAAGGTGGGAGGACTCAGCACAAGACAAAAAGCAGGACACTGAAGCTTTACATGGCGGACTTGGATCAGTGAGAAAACTCACAGTGTGACAGAGTCAGTGGCTAAAATAGTGGGAATGAAGGAAGAAATGGGACATCGACACACTGGATGAGCTACATCCATGGACCAATCCCAGGATCCTGGCAAGAGTTAGGGCAGAGAAGAAGACAGAACTAAGTCCCTAAGCAAAAGGTTCACAACTTCTTCAGACGCATCTTTTGAATCAAGTGTGAGAGTTCCCATCTGTTTCTCCAGCTTCTGTAGCTCCCCAGCCTGAAAGACAGGCTCTGTGACTCCAATGGGAGGCTCAGTTCTACTAGTTCTTAAATCAATCCCAGCCCAAGCCAGGAATGATTATAAGAGTTCTAACTAATCCAATACTCTATGGGATGTGGTATCAAATCACCCATGCTAGTCCCTCAATATCCCAACCCTAAAAACGGGGCTTCTGCCTTGATTCCAATCCCTAGTTCGCACCTTAGACTCAGTTTTGATAATTAACCCTTGATGTTTGCAGGTCTCATTTCGGTCTTACTGATTTTCAAAACAGTCTCCATTTCTCCTAACAGTTTTCTTGGTGCAAATTATCTGTCAACCAAGAAATCCTGAGTGCTCCAAAGCCTTCCCTTTCTTGTGCTGTAGGCTGCAGGCAGACCTCTACTTTGGCTATAGCCTCAAGACTGTTCTCCCTACCAGCACCTAAATTGAGTCTGTTTGTCTAAAACTGCTGCTATGTAGGCAGAGTTTTAAAAACTTGGTCACTTTCAGTCTGTCACTATCAGGTCACGCTCAGGTGTGTACTGAGGTGCAAAATCAAAAGACTAAGGATCCAAATAGATCTTAACTTTGAAATGAGGTCTATTAATTCAACCATTTATTAATCTAAACTGAAACTATATATTTATAGCTAACTTGGGTTATGAAAAATCAAAAATATAAGATCAGCAAACATTTAAATGCTAATATCTGAGCTATTTTTATCCATGATATATACAAGCAATGGGCTAGAGATTAAAAGATGTAAGGACTTTGTTTAGAATAAAAGTTAGTGCCCAATATTTCTAGCTTAGGAAAGACTCTGCACCCAGGATGATATGGACAGTTCTGACTACTTGAATGAACTAGCCAGGGATGCAGCCTACAGTGGTGGTTGATGATAAAGTCAACAGCCTTTGGAGTCAATAGCTTGATTCTGAACCCTGATTTTTCTACTACTTGTGTAATCTCAGATAAGTTACTTAAATGCTCTATGTTCCTGTATTCTTGTCTACAACATGGAGATGATACCTGTCTCACAACACTTGAAATAAATAACATATGCAAAGTATTTAATATAACTCTGACACACAGTTAGGATGAAATAAATGATATTTATCAGCACTTAAAAGTTTGCCTAAATTATTAAGGCAGAACAATACAGCTAATGATAAAAATGCTTTGGTACTGTAAGCAGAATAGTTATAAATAATTATGTTGATATGAAGTAACAAGCTCATTAATTTTTAATATCTAAAAAAATATTGAAAAAATGTTTTTGAAAAAAAAAAAATACTGAAACAGCCCAGTACCACCACCGCTTATTTGCTAAGCACTAGGTACACTTACTAGCCTTTGCACTAAACTCAATTACAATCTCTCTTATAAAAATATCTAACTTATTAATAAATCTAACACTACATTTTAAATAATTTACCAAGTAATATGGGAACCCCTGATCACTTTTTCATCAAATAACATGCTTGAATTCTAGTCCAAAGTATACAAAAATTAAAGACGTTTCTGGAACAAACAAGTTAAAAGAGACTTTCTCATACATATACACATACTCATAAAAATGCAGCGAGTAAAACTAAAGTACAAAGTAGCATGCCACATAACTGAGACAAGGTTGGACTATACTCCTTTCAAATTCTTTGAATCTGTGCACATGGCCAAAAAAGGATACTGTATGTGATATTCAAATAGTATCGTCCAGCTGGTAATGTTGGATGTAAATCATTTCTCCGCTCTATAAGACGATATAACTTACGAAAAGTAGGTAATGCTGCAGTACGCATCCAAACAATAAAATCCTCATTTATGAATCCATTATTATCTTCGTCAGAATCCAACATGTAAACTGGTTTAACCCAGTTTACTGGCTTTGTTGTGCCTTAAAAAGGAGATGGAAGTGGAATGGGGACACAAAATATTCAAGTTTATTAAGAGTTTCACTGAAAAGTCACACTCTAATAAAACAAAGATACACAATATGAATATTTTCCCTATGTGCAAAAATAGAAATACAGTCATATTCTAAGTCTTAAAATCTAAAAAGAAATCAATTCCTCACAGAAAACCTTAACAAATAATTACAAAGATTTGATTGATATCTCAATTAAGAGATTACTAAAAGTAGGCTACTGAGTATGTACCAAAAGGCAGATGACTTAATGCAAAGATATAATGGTAAGAAACATTACATTATGAAATAAAGGAGGCAAAGAAACAAACAAAAATTTGGACTTATAATTATAAAATTTAAATAAATACTTGTTTAAAATAAACTTTGTCACAACTTTAAAAAATTATAGCTAAAACATGTAGGAAAGTACCAGAGAAATTCAAGATGAACAGTATGTGTTTCCTGTAGAATTTTAACACATTAGAACATGCTACATATTTTACCTAACTTGACATGAAGAAAAGTTGTTTTTAAAAAACCATAAACTTTTTAAAGATCCTAAAGACTGAAAATTTTAGGTATTTCATTAAAACACCTAGATTATGTTTTAAGGGATAGCAGTAATACTCTACCTTTGAATCGTTCTGCTAATGGGTCTGTTCCCGGGGGATTCCTGAATTTTACATTTTTATCTGTCCACCAAGCAATACCTTTCTTTTTCAAAGGAACAGGCATAAGATCAGATGCATTGCCAACCTGAAACAATTCTAGTGTATCTGGACACAAGAAAAGAGAGATATTACTAAACATCTACTGAAAATCCATAGTAACAACTTTATTCCATGAGAAACGAGGATCTGGTATTTGCTTCCCAAAGCAGTTTTAACAAAGCAGGCACATGATGTGCATCTGCTCTTGGTTATTTACATGTGAATTAACTATGGTAATTTTATGATCCTAGATGAACTTGCCTTCCCTCAATAAAGTTCCAGGTCATTTTCCTACACGGCTAGCTGATATGTGATAAGGTCAAATGTTTTAATCTTAACACAAATAAAACAAGTTACAAGGTAAATTTGCCTCTCCTTCTATTCTTTAAAAAAAAAAAAGCATTGCTAAATAGCTTCTGGCTTACCAAATTCTCTATCTGCACTGTTCAACATGGTAATCACTGGCTATATTGCTACAGAGCCCTTGAAATTATGGCTCATCCAAATGAATATGTTTTGTAAGGATATAATATACATCAAAGGTTTTATATAAAAAATTAGTACATAAAATATCTCACTAATAACTTTATATACTGAACATCACTTACATGCTGAAATGATAATATTTGGGGCATACTGAGTTTAATAAAATATTATTAAAGTTAATGTAACTTGGTTTTTATTGTTTTTAATGTGACTATCAGAAAACTTAAAATTATATACATTTATGGTTCATATTATATTTGTATCAGACAGTGCTATAGCCCCTTTTTAATGGTATAAATATTCAAAGTTGGTTTATCATATATGAAACCAGAAGTTAGCAGAATGTCTCTGCTTCTTTCTTCTCAGAGACAGAAATTCATTCTTAAAATACAAGAATTCACAAAAGAAAGTCATAAAGCATTCCAATATCCCACTGCATAACTAATACTAAATATTTATCTTAAAGCTGTTGAATTTTACAATTTCATGTTCCTGTTCAATTGCTAAGTCCATTCTTGTTTCTGTAAGCTTATACAAATATTCCTAACTATAGTATAATATATATAATCTTTGTTTATCTCTATATCATACCATTAAACATGCTGTTGGCTATAGCCCCACAAGGAGCAATTGGTTTGTCTTCATTTCTTCGATAAGGCTCACACTCCTTACTGGGATTCTGATATTCAAAAGGAAGGAAGAGAGAAATTATTACCCAGGCCTCTCAGAGATCTATCAGTTAGCCCTAATTACTGATTAAAAATTCAATGCCTACATATTTCTTATTTGCAATGCATACAGAGTGTCTATACTATAGACAGACTATAAAGAAACCACATTTAACTATGCAAAAAATATATTCCTTAACATTATTGCTTTATAACCTTTCTTTGCATGTATTTTGTCACACAGATACATGTCAAAATGAAATTTTAAAACATCTTCATACCAACACAGAAATCATAACTACAGTTTTCGACCCAAGAAAATTGAGAAGCCATCTATTGTCAATCCAGCTATAATATAATGAAGGGAGTCTTAAACTGGAAGTAAGACTGGAGCTTCTAATTCCAACTAATGTACTGCATAACTTCAGGCAAGCCCCTTGACTTATCTGGGCCTGACTTACAAAACGAACATGTTCAACTAGATAATTTCAAGTTCTGTAATTTGGAGTTAAATCCCCAAATTAAATCCTGTGGAAGGAAAGAAGAGAGAGCAGGGAAGAGGGCTGGCTGATTGGAGAGAAGGAAGGAAAAGAATTCCCAGAATATACCAGTCTTCTCTAAATTGTGCATCCAGGTTAAACAAAACAAACATGTTGGCAAGGCAAATAACAATTCACCTGTCCTCCAGATTCAGTTTTGATTCAGTCCCTACTGAAGATCTCAAGGAAACATGTAAATTGTAGAGTTAATCTAGATATTCTACCAAGTCTAACATGAGGTATATGTCTGAGTTATTCTGCAACTCCAAGGCCACAATAGGCCATGTCTCAAAACACATAAACAAACCAAGATAGTCCCAATTTGAAATTAACTAGAACCTAGTGTCCTAGGGCTATTCCATTATCACCAATTTTGTCATGTATCTACATTGGAAAAAGAACTACAGGAGTGAAAAAGACAGGAGAAGGTTAAAGAAATGTGGCAGGGAATTTCATAAAGTCTCTTTAATATTTTACTTCTCAGCTTTTCGGTCCCTGTGCCATCTACATTCATAAAGTTATTATTCTAAGGCCATGAAGATAGACAACATATAATTAGCCTATTATTTGATTGTTTTGGTGAAAACTGTGATTTCAAGAAAAAAAAGGTAAAATAAACTCTCAGTGAGACATATATATATTGTAACCACGAAACTCTTGGGGGGCGAAGGAGGGAGTGGAATAGCAACTTCATTTGGAAAACCAGCAGAGAGAGGAGATGGTGGACTTGAGTCCTGAAGAACTGTCTTCTAGCTACTAAATTACTGAAGAAGTTTTAAAGGAAAATATTCACTACCTAGTCATCAGGTACTGAACTAAGCAATGTTACATACTTTGTAGTAACTGGCTTAGAAAAACCATTTGATGAGTACCAAACATGTACCACATACCATGAAAGGTGCTAGAAAGGGCAAAAAGAAAGAAAGAAAAAAAAGTCTCTGCTTTTCAGCAGCTCACAATGTAACAAGGGAAACAAACCGAAACACAACCAACTATAACACGAAATGAGAGCCATGATAAAAGTGTCTATATTTATTCCATATATATTTATTAAATGCCTCTCATGTGTTAGGCACTGTAGCGGTACTTGGTACATGGTGATTAAAGAAAGTCGCGCTTCCTGCTCTCATGGGCCTGCAGTATGGTTGGGAAGACAGAAGATAAGTAAATAAATGATACAGAGAAGTCTTTCTCATGAAAGTTAAGACCTGAAGAAAGGAGGAGACAGCCACATGAAGAGCACGTAGGAGAGCCTGAAGCAGAGAGAACAGTACACGCCATTTAGAGAGAACCTGGTATTTCTGAGAAAGTAAAGGGGGAATGTAGTTAAGAGCGTGGGAAATAGGAGAGTCATGCATAACTCAGATCATCCTGAGTAAACAAACCACTCAAAGATTTTAGGCAGAGAAATGGTATTTATGTTTTTTTAAAGATCACTCTAGCAGTTACGTAGAAAACAGCCTGGAAAGGAAGAAAGAGTGTGGATGATATGGGGAGACTGTGTTAAGTAAAGTATGAAATGAAGTATGAACACAGTATGAATGAAGTACACACGGAGAGAAGTTATTCTGCATCCAGAGACACTAAACAGCAGGCCTGAGATGAGAGGAAGGACCTCCAAGGAAAGAGTAAAAACCACAATCTGGACAAATGAAATGTAAATGCCCAAATGGGCAGATTATATGCGTCACCAGGCATAGTTTAGGTAACGGTATATATATGGCCCAGGGTAGCCAGGCCAAAGGTACCTTAAGAATAGAATATAAAACCAAAGAAGCTGGAGTGGCAGGCTGACATCACATTGTGAAGGGCCTTACATACAATGTTAAGTAACTTGGACTTCAATCTGTTTATTCTGAACATCTTTAAAATTTTTGAAAGCCATCTGGTCTTAAGTCATATATTTTGGTCTAGTCCAGGGATCAATAAATGACAGCCTGCAAATCAAATTCAGCCCAGGACCTGTTTTTGTAAAAAGTTTTACTGGAACACAGCTACGCCCATTCATTTGAGTACTGTCTATGGCTGCCTTCATTCTAAAATGGCAGAGCTGAGTGGCTGCAATGGACTACATGACCTGCAAAGCTGGAAATGTTTACTACTTGCCCTTTACAGAAAAAATCCTAAGTTTAGTTGAAAAACTTTGCTTGAAGCTTGGAAGAAAAGAATCTCAGCTTCTTTTGTCCTCCGTGAAGAGTGTATCTACATAAAAGAACTGTAAATCAACCACCACTTCTGGGTCTTCCAACACACACCCAATCTATGATCCCAATCAACAAATTCTGAGTACCTGGCGTGTCTCACAGAACATCACCTTCTCTGGACTTGTGGATCTCACAAAATAAACCCCCACATGGACTGCAAACTATTGCAGACCTAACTGGAATCTTTAAATAGACTTATTATTTCTTAAGATCCCAAACATCAGGAAATAGCAATAAAACCAGGAAGGATAACCAAGGGCAATTATACATTTATCAGGACCATTCTGGTCCCAATATGATTCTAAAGAGAGTCACTAAGAGAGTCATCCTAAGAGAGTCACTGTTTTTAAGTGATCCTTAAATTACTGTGGGACTCCCAAAGCTTGCTGCACTGGCACCAATAATATAAAATACTTGGGCACCAACCACTACAATGGATGCTGAACAACAGTCAGGAACTTAAGATCACCTAGTCCATAGGTTGCCAAACCCAGCTGAGCATCAGAAGGAGAGCTTGTTAAAAACAGACATTTTAGAGCTCCAACCCCATAGACGTAGACATGAAAGACTTAGGAGTAATTCTGGACTCTCTTATTTTCGAAAAGCTCCTCAGACAGTTTTTCAGTAACCCACTCTTTGAATTTTAGTACTTAGGTGTCCCACAGGGTAAAAAAGAGCATAAATGTTTGATTTTAAAACAATCTCAGAAATTAAAAGTAGTTTATTTACATATTCCTACCCAGTATAATAATAATGAATAAACCCAAACAGAACAAATTACATTCCCAGAATGCTACATTCATCAAACCCCATTACAAACTGACTGTCGCTTTTGTTGTCTAGTCACTAACTCATGTCCAACTCTTTACAACCCCATGGATTGTAGCCCACCAGGCTCTTTTAAGTCCAAAATGCAGTTCTTGGGTGCAATCTCAAAAACAACAGAATGATCTCTGTTCGTTTCCAAGACAAACCATTCAATATCACAGTAATCCAAGTCTATGCCCCAAACAGTAATGCTGAAGAAGCTGAAGTTGAACAGTTCTAGGAAGACCTACAAGACCTTCTAGAACTAACATCCAAAAAAGATGTCCTTTTCATTACAGGGGACTGGAATGCAAAAGTAGAAAGTCAAGGCGAATTTGGCCTTGGAGTACAATATGAAGTAGAGCAAAGGCTAAAAGAGTTCTGTCATGAGAATGCACTGGTCATAGCAAACACCCTTTTCCAACAACACAAGAGGAGACTCTAAACATGGACATCAACAGATGGTCAGTACTGATATCAGACTGATTATATTCTTTGCAGCCAAAGAGGCAATACAGTCAGCAAAAACAAGACCGGGAGCTGACTGTCGCTCAGATCATGAATTCCTTACTGCAAAATTTAGGCTTAAGTTGAAGAAAGAATGGAAAACCACTAGACCATTCAGGTATGACCTAAATCAAATCCCTTATGACTATACAGTGGAAGTGAGAAATAGATTCAAGGGATTAGATCTGATAGACAAAGTGCCTGAAGAACTATGGAAGGAGGTTCATGACATTGTACAGGAGGCAGTGATCAAGACCATCCCCAAGAAAAAGAAATGCAAAAAGGCAAAATAGTTGTCTGAGGAGGCCTTACAAATAGCTGAGAAAAGAAGAGAAGCTAAAGGCAAAGGAGAAAAGGAAAGATACACCCATCTGAATGCAGAGTTCCAAAGAACAACAAGGAGAGATAAGAAAGCCTTCTTCAGTGATCAATGCAAAGAAATAGAGGAAAACAAAAGAATGGGAAAGACTAGAGATATCTTCGAGAAAATTAGAGATACCAAGGGAACATTTCATGCAAAGATGCGCTCGATAAAGGACACAAATGGTATGGACCTAACAGCAGCAGAAGATATTAAGAAGAGGTGGCAAGAATACACAGAAGAACTATACAAAAAAGATCTTCATGAACCAGATAATCACGATGGTGTGATCACTCAACTAGAGCCAGACATCCTGGAATGTGAAATCAAGTGGGCCTTAGGAAGCATCACTACAAACTAAGCTAGTGGAGGTGATGGAATTCCAGTTGAGCTATTTCAAATCCTAAAAGATGATGCTGTGAAAGCGTTGCACTCAATATGCCAGCAAATCTGGAAAACTCAGCAGTGGCCACAGGACTGGAAAAGGTCAGTTTCATTTCAATCCCAAAGAAAGGCAATACCAAAGAACGCTCAAACTACCACACAATTGCTCTCATCTCACATGCTAGCAAAGTAATGTTTAAAATTCTCCAAGCTAGGCTTCAACAGTACATAAACCGTGAACTTCCAGATGTTTAAGCTGGATTCAGAAAAGGCAGAGGAACCAGAGATCAAATTGCCAACATCCACTGGATCACTGAAAAGGCATGAGAGTTCCAGAAAAATAGCTACTTCTGCTTTATTGACTAAGCCAAAGCCTCTGACTGTGTGGATCACAACAAACTGTCAAAAAATTCTTAAACAGATGGGAATACCAGACCACATTACCTGCCTCCTGAGAAAAATATATGCAGGTCAAGAAGCAACAGTTAGAACTGGACATGGAACAACAGACTGGTTCCAAATAGGAAAAGGAGTACGTCAAGGCTGTATATTGTCCCCCTGCTTATTTAACTTACATGCAGAGTACATCATGAGAAATGCTGGGCTGGAAGAAGCAAAAGCTGGAATCAAGATTTCCAGGAGAAATATCAATAACCTCAGACATGCAGATGACACCACTCTAAGGCAGAAAGTGAAGAGGAACTTAAGAGCCTCTTGATGAAAGTGAAAGAGGAGAGTGAAAAAGTTGGCTTAAAGCTTAACATTCAGAAAACTAAGATCATGGCATCCGGTCCCATCACTTCATGGCAAATAGATAGGGAAACAATGGAAACAGTGTCAGACTTTATTTTGGGGGCTCCAAAATCACTGCAGATGGTGACTGCAGCCATGAAATTAAAAGATGCTTACTCCTTGGAATAAAACCCATGACCAACCTAGACAGCATATTAAAAAGCAGAGACATTACTTTGCCAACAAAGGTCCGTCTAGTCAAAGCTATGGTTTTTCCAGTGGTCATGTATGGATGTGAGAGTTGGACTATAAAGAAAGCTGAGCACAGAAGAACTGATGCTTTTGAACTGTAGTGTTGGAGAAGACTCTTGAGAGTCCCTTGAACTTCAAGGAGATCCAACCAGTCCATCCTAAAGGAAATCAGTCCTGAGTATTCATTCAAAGGGCTGATGCTGAAGCTGAAACTCCAATACTTTGGCCACCTGATGGGAAGAACTGACTCACTGGAAAAGACCCTGATGCTGGGAAAGATTGAAAGCAGGAGGAGAAGAGGATGACAGAGAATGAGGAGCTTGGATGGCATCACCGACTTGCTGGACAGGAATTTGAGCAAGCTCCGGGAGTTGATGATGGACAGAGAAGCCTGGTGTGCTACAGTCCACTGGGTAGCAAAGAGTCAGACATGACTGAACAACTGAACTAAACTGAAGGCTTTTCTACTCATGGGATTTTCCAGGCAAGAATACTGGAGTGGGTTGTCATTTCCTTCTCAAGGGGATCTTCCCAAGCCAGGGGGTGGAACCCATGTCTCCTGCATTAGCAGGCATATTCTTTACAGCTGAGGCCAGGGAATTAACAAAGCAAAAATCCCAATGATACTATAAGAAATAAGCAGGAAGTAACGCGTCCTCTGGCTGCAAGAAATCATTAACCTATGCAAATTCCAAAGAAAAAAATTTTAACTAAAACCCTCACTGAACAAACTAAAAATGACAAGCAATATTTTAATTTCATTTAACACTTTAATATCTATCATTTCTTATTGAAATGAGAATTGACAGGTCTCACTGAAATAACACAATTATCACATGTTCTTAGTTATTAAAACACCAGTTTTATGTTCTATCACTTTACTTACAAGCAAAGCACTAGGATCTCCATTTAGCTGACCATCATCTCGAGATTTCACATAGCGACGATGGTTTTGATAGAAATTAGACAGTCCATAATACATAAACACATTGCCCTAGAGAAACGGAAAAAATGTTCATATGAAACTATAAAGTATAAAGTTTCATTCATACATAAAAACTATGTATTTGGACTAGTTCAAAACATTGATAACTTTAAACAGGTACTGGGGTGAATTCTGCCAGAACTAGAAATAAAGTTAAAGAAGGCATGCTCCAAAAAATCCAAGAGTAAACTTTGAAATACCCTGAAAGACCTCAAAGATACCTATTTACATTAAAGCAAAGAAATAAAAAAGCTCTCCTGGAATCTATTAGCCTAATTTGATCTACTTTCCATTTTAAATTGTAAAGTAATTGTCTTCCAATTAAAATCCATAAATAACTTTTAAAAATTTTTTCTGTAATTCAGATTGGTCTTTATCCAACTAGCACCAACTTTTCAAAGATATAATGGTCAAGCTTTCATTTATTGCTCAAAATAAATGTTGAACTTGAATTGGGACATGGTAAATTCTTCAACAGGATACTACGTAATGTTAATAATGAACAAATTTATAATTAGTAAAGTATCTAAGATAATAGAAGTCATTTTATGATAATCAAGCAAAATAATGTATGCAGTGGAGTCAACTTGGAAAAATCCTAGGAAAGAAGAGTAACCTACATACATTATAATTATTTAGAAGGTGCCATGAAGTCATCTTAAATGACTAAGATTTTTGGAGGTGGCAAAAACATTAGCTATTTTCTCCTTTCTCATTGCTACCTCTACAATTTGTAATCTATCCTTGATTAAAAGGAATTCAGAAAAGAAAAAAGATGTCAATAACATTTTGCTTTATCTGATCTGCTGTTTTCATATATACAATCATTTATTCAAGGCTTGATTTTTGAATGTCAAGTATGCAAACTGTCTCAGTCTATATAAAGAAAACATTTATATAGAAATCTTTTATTTATTTATTCATTTATTTCATTGGCTGATTTCTGTTCTCTGAAAAGGTTTTAGTTCAATTCAAATTTGGTTTGTAAAAGAATACAGAACCCACAAAAAAAATGAATCTGAGGACAATCACCTTTGCAGAAGAAACGTTCTGAAACCCTAAGTGTTTCTGAATGGGAGAGGAAACTAATAGAGCTTCCAAATCATTATAAGTCTCTTCCATGTCTTTAATTCTGCCTGTTTTGACAAAAGCAGAACTTAATGCATCTTTACAGTTTGTCCATCACATTAAAAAAAATCAAACTTTTCTGATGTTTTACATTTATGCTATTTCTGCTAAAACAAAATAATTAAATTCCTGTCTTCTCTCTAATTTATTTTTATAATTTTTGAAAAGGGAGCTTTATTGTCCATTATCTCAGTGCAAGAGCATCCATAACCACTAGATGGCCACCATCTACCAGGGACCTCAAAAGTCACCTTTAAGAAAATCTAAAGCATAGCTGCGAAAGTCCAAAAAACTGGCCTGTATAAAAGTAGTTTTGCTCCCTGAAGAATAAAACAATACTTTTTAAAAGTTCAGTTTCCAGGTAAAGGAGAGCACAAATTGGTCTAGCCATGACTACTCTGAATCTGCGGGTCCTTCACCATCTGGCTCAATTTCCAAGAAGGACAGCTGAGTGTGAATGCAAAAGTCAGGCAGACCACGCACATGCACACACACACACACTGCATACCTTGTGCAGAGTTTTCTAACTGCTTGTCAGTAAGGTTTTACTAAGTGTTTGCACATATGTTAAAGCATCATATCTGATTAACAAATGATGCAATTAAATGTGTGAATTAGTATTTATTTTCTAAAGTAAAAACTGTTGGTATTAAAAGTAGTCAAAACAGTTTGAGCAATAATTTTTTAAATACAAACATATGTAGATAGAATCTTGATACAAAAGTGATTTGTACAGTTATAAAATTTTCCAGAAACAGAATAGGTTTCAAATTTTGCTTATAAAGTACTAACTAGAATAATCTATTAATGCATTTAATTATCAGAGAGCATAATTTGCTAACTAAACAAAATAATGTTCCTCAAAAGTGTACTGACTCTAAATAAATTAAAGTGACATCTCAACAAGAAAATAACTTAAAAAAAATTAATATCAATATTTTTTAAACCACGGGTTTTCTAAGACATTTCTTAGAATACAAACCTCAAATGACTGTTCCAGTGTGAAGTTAATGGTACAAATACAAGGTGTCACATTCGGAGACAAACATTTATAGCAGGGACTGGAAGGATCTGTTCCGGTATAATCAATCTGCAAGAGAAAAATGTAACTAAGCATACTTCCTTGGAGAAAGTGAATACACTCTGAAATAATCTGCTATCAGATGGAAAAATAAATCTGAGAGAGCAACCACAACCCAGAAAAAAATCTTTTGATAAGGTCATCTATTAGACAGTGTTAGCCTGTAAAAACTGGAAAGAGTCCTATGTTATCCTACTGGCTCATCTCTCCTTTTTCACAAAGAAATACATTTATGTATAAAATCATAAATATAAAATTCAAATTGCATGATGTATTAACTTTTAAATAGCTATAAAGTCTAAACAACTTTTCTGTCATCTCAGCTTTCCATGGCATATTTTCAAATTAAATAAAGCAAACAAAAACTATCAGGTTTCTCAAGGGCTACCATTTTTAAAACCTGGTGTTGGATAATTAAGAATCTGTTTTATCTCTGTCCTGGGTTTCTGGTTAGTTCAGTTCACTTGCTCAGTTGTGTCCGACTCTTTGCAACCCCATGAATTGCAGCACACCAGGCCTTCCTGTCCATCACCAACTCCCGGAGTTTACTCAAACTCATGTCCATCGAGTGGGTGATGCCATCCAGCCATCTCATCCTCTGTCGTCCCCTTCTCCTCCTGCCCCCAATCCCTCCCAGCATCAGGGTCTTTTCCAATGAGTCAACTCTTCCCATTAGGTGGCCAAAGTATTCGAGTTTTGGCTTCAGCATCAGTCCTTCTAGTGAACACCCAGGATTGATCTCCTTTAGGATGGACTGGTTGGATCTCCTTGCAGTCCAAGGAACTCTCAAGAGTCTTCTCCAACACCACAGTTCAAAAGCATCAATTCTAAGGTGCTCAGCTTTCTTCACAGTCCAACTCTCACATCCATACATGACCACTGGAAAAACCATAGCTTTGACTAGACGGACCTTTGTTGGCAAAGTAATGTCTCTGCTTTTTAATATGCTATCTAGGTTGGTCATAACGTTCCTTCCAAGGAGTGTCTTTTAATTTCATGGCTGCAATCACAATCTGCAGTAATTTTGGAGCCCAAAAAAATAAAGTCTGACACTGTTTCCACTGTTTCCCCATCTATTTCCCATGAAGTGATGGGACCAGATGCCATGATCTTAGTTTTCTGAATGTTGAGCTTTAAGCCAACTTTTTCACTCTCCTCTTTCACTTTCATCAAGAGGCTTTTTAGTTCCTCTTTACTTTCTGCCATAAGGATGGTGTCATCTGCATATCTGAGGTTATTGATATTTCTCCTGGAAATCTTGATTCCAGCTTGTGCTTCTTTTAGCCCAGTGTTTCTCATGATGTACTCTGCATATAAGTTAAATAAGCAGGGTGACAATATACAGCCTTGACGTACTCCTTTTCCTATTTGGAACCAGTCTGTTGTTCCATGTCCAGTTCTAACTGTTGCTTCCTGACCTGCATATAGGTTTCAGGAACCTCTAAATCCTTTAAAACTTCCCTGTTGATAAAGAGTCTGTTTTTGATAAGCCCCTTAATTCACAGGAGTTTGTGCTAAGGCAATGGGACAGGTAGGGGCCCGTCACCAGAAAGACCAGATGTGACTGGGGACTTTGGCCCAAACTCTGGAAAGAGAGAGAAGGCTGGAGGCTTAGTTCTCAGTTGCTCAGTGTTAGTTGCTCAGTCGTGTCCAACTCTTTGCAATCCTGTGACTGAAGCCCACCAGACTCCTCTGTCCATAGAATTCTCCAGGCAAAAATATTGGAGTGGGTTGCCATCCCCTTCTCCAGAGGATCTTCCTGACCCAGGGATCGAACTCGGGTTTCCTGCACTGCAGGCAGGTTCTTTACCAACTGAGCCAGCAGTATTTAGTCAATCACGCCTTCATCATGGAATCCCAATGAAAGCAGAGGCCACCAAAGCACGGTGAGCTTTGGGTTGTTCAGCCTATCGACAAGCCTGGATTCTCAGGGAGAAGGAAGGAGTGCATGAAGCTCTGCATTCAGGACCTCACCAAATGTCTCTTTGTTTAGCTGATCCTGATTTACATGGTTTAAAATAGAAGTATAATTATAAGTCTAGCACTTCCCTGAGTTCTGAGTCATTCCAGCAACTTAGGAAACCTGAGAGAAGTTACAGTAACCTCCCACATTTATAAGCAGTAGGTGAGAAGTGCAGGTGGCCTGCAAACGTCTGAACTTGCAGCTGGCATGTGAAGTGAGGGCAGTCTGGGGGAGGGGGCCTTGGAGCTCCCGGATTTGTAGCTAGTGGCCATAAGTATGGGTTGCCTGGGAGCCTGACTTGCAGCTGGCATCTGAGCGGTACTCAGATGTATTACTGGAGACCAAGCCCTTACACCTGTGGACTCTGACACAAACTCAGGTGGTTAGTGTCACAACTGAATTGCAATACACCAGCAGATGTCAGAAGACCTGACCTAACAGCCAAAATGAGAAAATTTTTTCCATTATATAAATTTTTAAAAATAGATTTTATTTTCCAGAGTGCTTTGAAGTTCACAGCAAACTACAGAGTTCCCATATACTCCCTGGACCTACACAGACACAATCTCCCTGGTTATCAATATCCCTCACCAGAGAAATGTACTTGTTACAAATGATGACCCTGTAATGTTACATCGTTATCACCCAAAGGCAATGGTTCACCTTAAGAGTCACTCCTGGTGTTGCACATTCCACGGGTTTTGACAAGTGTGTAATGACATACATACACCATCACAGTATCATACTGAATAGTTTCACGCCTTAAAAACTCTGCACTCCACTTATTCATTCTTCCCTCACCCCTAACCCCTGACAACCATGGATCTTTTTACTGTCTCCATAGTTTTGCCTTTTCCAGAATGGCACATAATTTGAAATCATACAGCATGTAGCCTTTCTGGATTTATCTCGTTCACTTAGTAATATGCATTTAAGGTTTCTCTGTCTTTCCACAGCTTGCTAGCACATTTCTTTTTAGCATTAGAGATTATTCCATTTTCTTTGTGTACCACAAGGACATCTTGGTTGTTTCCAAGTTTTGGCAATTACAGTAAAACTGCTATTAACACCCATGTGCGGGTTTTCGTGTAGATGTAAATTTTCAGCCTATTTACATAAACAAAAAGGAGTAAAAAAGGTGGATTGCAGTCTAAGAGTGTGTTTAGTTTTGTAAGAGACTGCCAAACTGTCTTCCAAAGTGGCTGTACCATTTTGCACTCCCACCAGCAATAAATGACTTCCTTTTGCTCCACATCCTCAGAAGCATGTGATGCTGTTGTTTGGGTTTTCTCCATTTTCACAGGTGTGCCGTGGTATCTCATTGTTGTTTTAATTTGTAGTTCCCTAACGATAATGTCAAGCATCTTTTACATGTTTACTTGCCATCTGTAAATTATGGACTAAATGTTTGGATCTCCCAAAATTCATATGTTGAAGCCCTAGATCCCAATATAATTTGAAGGTGGAAACACTGGATTTGGTTTACATGAGGTCATGAAGGTAGGGCCTCCATGGTGGAAGAAGAATCCTTCTGAGATGGAAAAAATAGAGCAGAGTGCTTGCCTCTAGGCACATGTATGCACTCTCTCTCTCAGTCCCTCTCTCTCTCCTCCTCTGCTGTGGGAGGACAAAGTGACAAGGCAGGCATCTACAAGTCAGGAAGAGGGTCTTTCTTCACTCTCTTTCAGGGTGAAGAATCTGAAGGAACTGAACCTGCCAGCACCTTGGTCTGACTTCCAATCCTCCAAGACAGTAAGAAATAAACATCTGTTGTTTAAGCTATCTGGAATATACATTTTTTAAAATAGCAGCTTATGCTAAGACAGACTTTAGCACTGAAAAGTGAGGTGTTGCTTTAGCAAATACTCAAAAAGACAGAAGTAACTTTGGAACTGGGAAATGGGTATAGGCTGGAGATTTGAGATGCATGCTAGAAATATAAACATTAACAGTGATTCTGGTGAGATCTCAGAAAGAAATGAAGAGTTAAAAAGAAAGCTTCCATCTCCTTAGAGAGCTAATAAATAAACATGATCAGTTAATAAAGAAACATGGATGGTAAAAGACCGCTTTGGTGAAGTCTTAGAAAGGGACAATTTAGTCAGATTCTCTGCCACTTTACTGACAAAGGAAAAAAGGTGATCCTTGTCAATGAAGTGGCAGAGAATCTGACTAAACTGAGACCCAGTGTTTAGCACTTGTGGAAGGATGAAGCTGGATATTCAGATTTCTAAGCAGTGTTCAAAGAGTGGCTTGGTCCCACCTGACTGCTTATTAACAGTAAGATGGGAGAAAGAGAGAATGGACTAAGAAATAACATTATGCAAAAAGGGACCAAAACTTAAGATCTGGAAAAATTCTCAAATCTATCCATACCACAAAAAATCAGAAAGGTAATACTAAGGGTAATACTAAGCTAAACAACCATTCAGTAAAGAGATGAGTGTGCGTGTGGACCGTGGGCCTACTCGGCCACCCTAGCAGGAACACTGCCGTGTGGACTGAGGGGAGAGAGGAGGAGCAAAAGGCAGGCCAGCTGAGGGACTGTCAGAGTCTACAGGACTGGCCCACAGAGCCCTTCTCTACATAATGTGCTACTGACTCTCCAAAAGAAGAGAAGAATGATCCCTGAGATGACTTCTGAGACCATCAGGGCTACATCCTCATTTCATACTGGAGGAGGCGTTCAACAGACCGGCTGGCAAGAACCCAGAGCCTTGAAGCAGGACTTCTACCCCAGTGGGTCCCAAAGGCAGAGTGTTAAACCAATGAGGTTTAACAAGCCTTAAGAGGCTTCTCAAGCCATAAGATCTGATGGTATTTGTCTTACTAAGTTTTGGAGATTTGCTTGGAACTCATCACCCTTTTCATTTTTTTCTCCCTTTCAAATTTGAGTGTCTGTGCTATGTCTGTTACTTCACAGTATTTGGAAGCACATCTGGTTCCACAGGTTCACAGCTGGAGAGGAATTTTGCCTCAGGATGAATCATACTTTGAGTCTCACCTATCTGATTAAAATGATATTTAGAAGACTTGAAAGGTGATG